AAAATGGCATCGGGGTGCTTTAACTAAAGCTTGTTCAGCCCCCCCCCGCCACCACTTTGAACCGCAGGTACACTGAATACATGTGACATGAAGGCGCTTTATTAGAACATGTCATAGCAAGTGTTGGGCATGTGTATAGGTAACCTTATTTAAACAAATTTCTCCATTCCTCCCTTGCCTGCTGCTCCTGCCTTCTCTGCTCTTCCTCCTACGCTCACTGTACTATTATATTATCACTTCCCTCAGCTTTTAACAGGCCACGGCCCTCATGCTATCCTGCTGCCACCCTGACTTTGTAATTCTGTTCCCGCATCTTGCACAAGACATCTTGCAGCCCTATTGTAGCTGGTGAGATCAGTGTCCTGCTGGGCTGCTGCCTAGGTTTGCCAACCCTCCAGGATTGCCCTGGAGTCTCCAGGAATTGGGTATAAATCTCTAGGACACTGCTGAAAGTCACCTGGGAGATAAGTGATAGGGCATTCATTAGAATAAATATTAAATGTTGAATCCGATTGATACAGTAGTCCGGTGGGTTTTTCAAATGTAATAATAATGTGCATTTGCCTTCCTGACATAACATCTACGCACCATAATCCGTAACTGATATAGGCAAGCATGCGGGCACATTTGCGTTGTGTGTCGTGGGCTTGTTGGCATTTTGGAAACCTCCTGGAATAGATTCAAACAGAGTTGGCAACTCTACTGCTACCTGACCATTCACCTTCAGTTCCTCTCCACAAGCTTATTTCCTAAAATGGTGATGGCTAAAACCTAGCATATCTGGAGTTTCCATTGGCATGGAGGCCCCGGGGGTCTGCGACCAATGAGCCAGGAGTGTCCTTCTTTTTTTGTGGATGCACCTTTGCAGCTGCAATAAATCACAGGCCTAAATATACCACAGACCAGAAGAGAGTAGTAGCTAAAACTGGGTGAAGGTTTTTCACAGGCCTAATTTTCTCTAGAATGGCTCCCCTATCCTTACTGGCGATCTGGCCAGCTAATTGAGAGAGTTCAGAAGGATCCAGGTGTAGGTGCAATCTCAGTTCAAACAAGCAAATATAAGGTATATAATCTCAGTATACATTTGGGTGAGCTAGTGCTTGCATCGCAAGTCTTCAGTCAGCTCGAAATCAGATGTAAACCAGGGCTGAACCTGTCTTCCCAGACAGGGTTAAATGCCCAGCTCTGCACCCCATGCAAGGCTTGCTAAAGTACAGGCAGGAAATTGTTCCGACTGGTGACTGATGTCAAAAAAGAGCAGCGAGGAAAGTCAACGTCAAATGTGCCTCAAAGCGAAGATTCAGACACTTTTTTCTGCGTGTAGCAATATCTCCGGTGAACAGCTGAGCTATGCATTTTTAACTGAAAGGAAAATTACAGACAAATCTTTTGCTTTTGTTATTGAACATAATGGTATGTGTAGATCTCACCAAATTGGATAATCAGCTGCCCACACTGCTTCTGTTTCCCGTTGCTCACTCAAATAATGAATTTTGAGGATGCAAATAATATCCCAAGGGCTCCTTGGGATAAGGCTAAAATACAGATTTAATTACTCTGTTGATGAATACATTAATAAGGGGAAAGACTTTTCTGTACGGCAACGTCCACATGTATTTTTTGGTGTTGCCCTAATTAAGCGAAGTGGATCTCTGTAGTTAATGCAGGCTGTTGTTCTGTTTAATGGAAGTGCCTCCTTTGAGACAAACTGGAAGGAAACTACAAGCTACTCAGCCAAAACACCCTGGGGGGAAAAAGAGGAGGCCCCTTTAAATGAGTATCAGAAAAAAAAATCTTTCAGGCAATGTACCAAGTTCTAGCTTCGGGAGATTAGGATAGCCTGACGGCTAGGGTGCTAATGGAAGTAAAGACACTGAGTATAGATCCAAGATGACAGTAGGACAGGCAGTTTCCAGATGAACTTCAGCCTGAAGAGGAAGAAATGCCATCTTCAAGGGTCATCACATCTCAAGGGGTTTATAGAAAATCCCCATCTAGCAATACCAGGATGCTTTGGACAGAGGAATGCCCCAAATACGACGTGTGGAAAATAAGAACCAGAGGGATCCTTTTGACCTCTGCGTGCACACAGTTGCTGGCCCTTGAAGCCCCAAAATAAACCCCCAGGTGTCCAAGTAAAAAACGTGAGCCTAGAGTGGGTGCCCTGTGTTTCTCGTCGGGCTGTGCAGAGGCGAGGGCTGAATGAAAGGTTAGGCTGCGACTGAATAAATAAAAGAGCCTCTTCTGGGACAGAGGCTGCCACTTGGTTTGTGTCTCCATACAGTTATCGGAGTGCCGTCCTTTTGGTGTATTTTTGATAAGTTCTCATTTTCTGTCTCAGTCCTAAATCAATTAAATAAAACACATGTCTACAAGGACCTCTTAGGCCTGCAGGTCAAGGGTCAGAGAACCTGTGAGACATGGTTAAATGACTGATTGAAATCAATTTGCAATGACTGACTCCGCATGCCCTGCCCAGGGTCCTCATAGGTGGCGTGGGAGTTTCCAAGCCTTTCCTTTAAATGCATTTTCCTCCAGAGCACCCAGGCATCCTTAATGGCTCATCTGAGTTTTTGGCATAAGTTGACTTGTAATATAAGCAACTGTCTGCCAGTCTGCCTGCCCATAGGCACTCTGCAAATATGAGTTTATCTTTAAGTGTATTGAATTCCCCCATTAAACACTCTCTAGGTAGAAGGACATAAATTAAAATCAAATTATGCAATCTGCTGCCTCTTTAAGCAGATACCCTTCCACACAGTGGATAACTAAACCCCTATCACATGAGACTGAAGCTTAAGGAGAGATGCAGGTCCTCACAGCAGGCCCTGAAGGTCAACCAACTCTGGCACCATATGCATCATGCATGGTTGGGTCAGATTTTGAACAGAGCTGCATCAACCACTATTCCAATTATGTAACCTGAGCATTCATGCTGGGGAAAGCTGGTGGTTTCAGGTGACAGGTGCTGGATCAAACAGCAGAGGAGATGGTATGCAATTCCCTTCCGAGCCAAGATAAATTATTTACGTTTCTGGTCATTCTGTCAAGTGCCTGATGTAGTTTGGAGTGTGTTTTCCGTTATCTGGAACAATCTCACTTGTAGCCTGATGTTGCAGGTAAAGATACCTTTAAAAAGTCATTACAGCCAGGAGCCTGGGGCATTATGGCAGACTGGCTGAAGTGTCTTGCTACAGCTCTGGGATCATAAATAAGGAGGCATGTCCTGGACTTTTGTTCGGCTGTAAATGGGCCCCTGATCATTCAGGCTGGAGGGGTGCAGGAAGCTGATGATGCAGGGAGCTGGGGAGTGGTGCATGTGATGCTAGCCACAGCACTCCCCTGTGCACTTTGGACTCCCTTACTCCCACAGGCAGCCTCCTATGGTTGATTTTGTGAAACCGGTCTGCCTTAAACCTGCCAGTGCAACGGGCTGTTAAACTGGGGTGGACTTTTGACAATAGGCAGGGAAGGGACCCCATAAAAATGGAAATGGGATACCTTCCCCCCCCCATTTATATGTAGAGACTGCAGAATAGCTACTCTTCTCTATCTAAAGCTTGACCCCATGTCTTGAAATCAGAGCTGTCCACCTCTGGTCTCCTACATCATCTCCTCAGATAAAAATCACTGGAATCGCTGGCCAATGTATTGATGGTACAAGAAACAAGAATTAAAACGGAGCTCGTTAGTCCACTGTTGTTGTCCCTGCAGTGGTTACAAGTCAGTCGAGCTTCTTTGCATGTTACTGCAGCTTCCCCAGCTGGGTATAGCACAAGCTTGGGTAGCACAAGTCTGGGATGCTATGTTGACTTTCTGCTCCCAGACCATTTTGCCTCCTGTATGGCTGCATAATCAGGATTTTTTTTTTCCATGGAGAAGGTGACTTGGACTGACCCATTTCTAAAGAAGCAATTACTTTTTTAATTGGCTTGGGAAAAAAAATCTTACTTGACATAGTTTCAGCCAATTCTAGTTTTAGTGAAGAAATATCACTGTAATAATTCAGGCTGCCTTTAATATTGATTGCTTTAGATTATGCTCAAAGCCCCTAAATCCAAATTCCACCACGCTTGTGAGAAGTTTGGATCTGGCATTTGGCCCACAGAGAATTTGAGTGGATTAAAAGCGGAGCAAAAATTATGAGCCATATTATCTCCTCAGGAAGTTTATATGAGCAGCCCTTGAATGCAACCTCACAAAGTTTCTTCTGAGTCCTTTCAAAAGTGGAACAGTGTTTACATTGCCTGCAAACCACTGATGGACAAAGAAGCAGGTCCCCCCAGCTGTGGATAATTTTCTGGAGAGACTGAACCATCTATGTGCCTATCAAGGCCTTTTCTTTCCTTTTGCAGCAGGCTCTGAGACCCCATGCTACTCCTTCTGACCCCTGACAACCCACCTTCACTGGAGTGCATTTTTGGGAAGACTTATACAGGCAGCCTCCTATGCTTGATTTTGTGAAATTGCTCTAGCATTGAATGCCTCTACTAGGGCTGTGCAAAATGGCACCGTTTTGCTTCATTGAAACAGTGAGGCTGTTTCGATGCTGTTTTGACATTTTGCTAGATCGCCTGGGGCCGGGAAGTCAGCCCAGCTGGGTTGACTTCCCATCTCCCACCTGATTTAGTGCTGGGGATGGGAAGTCAGCCCAGCTGGACTGACTTCCATCCCCAATGCTATGGTCGAAACGTTTCGACTTTCGAAACATTTTGACTAGCCTTGTTTTGTTTTGAGGCTGTTTCGAAGCCTTTGGTTTCATTTTGATTTTGCTGTTTCGACCTCGAAATGAGTTGAAACAGTGTTGAAATGAAACGGCCAGTGAAATTTTGCACATCCCTAGCCTCTATTGTGTTCACCCACCATCTGCTCTCAAGGCTTGTCACCTGTATCTTAGATCAGGGAAAATAGGGGGTCACTGAAACTCAATGGGAGTCAAATGGGAGCACCTTAAGACAATGACTTGGCTAAGACCCAGTTTTTTTTTAACTTCTTTGCAGAGAGCTGAGGTTGGTAACAGTGGAAAGTCCCCAGAAGCAGGACAACATTGTCAGAGACTTAAGAGGGTGAAACTCAGAAGAAGGACCCCTGGAGACAGAGGAGCCTTGGCAGGAGAGAGGGTAATGTTTCTATAGGAGAAGTGATATTCTTTGAATGCAGAAGCAGCCAAGATCAGAGGAGGCTGCCTCAAGGACAGAGTGAGAGTGAGAGCAGACTTCATTGTCCACAAGAAGCCATGAAGGAAAAGGAGCTGGGCAGATATCCTTCCACAGGCCTGGGGAGTTAGTACCATGGAGGAAGCGGCCTTTCTACATTTAATGGGAAAAGCCATGTGCGCATCTTCCCTCCACCCATAAGAAATGTCTTCAGGCGTTTGACCTTTTGTAGCCCTTACTGGTGCATTCATCAGGCTCATGACATTTTGGGATGTGGGATTGGACTACATAACTATTGAAGTTCCTTTTCTAACCCTATGCTTCTATCTCTCTGGTTTCAGTGACTGGTTGCCCACTTCTTTGAGAACGTAACTCCCTGCTTAGGACCTGTTTAGGACCTTTGGGCTCCATGGATGGTCTAAACCCATTCAATACCTTCTCAAAGAAGAGAAGTACAACTTTCTGCCTCTACTCCCTTCCCTTCTTCCTTCCCTCCCATTCCTCTTCTGTAACCCAGAGTCATCTGTATGAATGCTGCTTCCTGCTAAGTATATGCTTGCTCAACTTTAAAGGGGTCATAGCACCAAAATTAGATTGCTCCAGGAGGTGATGAAATCTTCTCAGTGCTGTTTATTGCACTGTAAGACTCCTCTAATTGCAGACGGGTGAGATTTCAGCTGAGGAGCACTGATTGAAAAGTGTGGCTAAAGAATGCTGTTTTCTCGGGGGTGGATCAACAGGGGGTCAGGGAAAAACAATCCAGTGTCTCTCTTTTCCTTGGCCCAATTTTTCATGGGGAACATCTACTTTTTATGATTTGCTGACTCAGAAATAAGGAAGTGGTGACTGGATCTGAACTTTCCCAAAATGTTTCTTGGATCCAGGATTCTGCTCTCCATTGTCACTTTTGGTTTATCCGTGCTATGCATTTCCTTAGGGCAGAGGTAGGCAAGCCCTGGCACGGGTGCCAGAATGTGGCATATGAAGGCATTTTGCTTGGCACATGTGCCTTGGGGTGGATGGCAGGGAAAGGATCAGCGCTACATGGCCACAACAAGGATCAGGTCCCTCACGGCTCCTCCACCATCTGCCCTGGCACATCAGCATCTTACAAATCAAGGTTGTGGGTGTTTTTGACATTCTGCCCCAAAACGTTGCCTACCCCTGACTTCGGGCATGAGGCAGGGCCAGTAGTAAGCTACGACCAGGGGTACAGAAGTACCATGTGAGAGGGTCCTAGAAGAGCTACCCCTACTGTACTTTTGCCCAGCTGTGTATGTTCTAATAGATTTACATGTTCCCCTGAAGCACCCAACTTTTATGACTTTCAAAGCCACCCAGGGGACCAGGGGCCTGTTCCAACATGACAAACCCTATCAGTGTCTCATTTCTACTTACTTACATACTGAGAAGCCATCCTCACCACGTGGGGGAATCGAGGACCTGGGTTCCTTGCTTCATGCTTGGCAGTTCTGCCTTATGGTAGAAACGAGAGTGACTTTTCTGTTTTTACAGGTAAAACACCCAATACATTTCTGCTTGGAATAGCTAAAAACATTGCTCACTTATATAGCGTGTCTAAATTGCCCAGGCTTACCTTAAATCAAATCCTCCATTCTCTTTAAACCAAGTCCTCCTGTTACGATAATTATCTGTGAAGCTTGCCGTCCAGAATCTGGCCTAGGAGAAATCCACCCCATACCAAATTGTGTACAGACGTCCTTCAGTGGCAAAGTCAGCCCTTTCTCAACTCCACGCACAGTTGCAAAGAAGTTGCTTTGTTACATTTTATGAGAATTCCCAGCTCTTGAGATGACATTTCCAGTGGTATTAACACTCCTGGAAACTGAAGCTAATCAAATTATCAGAATCTTAACCATATAACATAATGGCTTCTCTTGGGTAAAGACATTTGCAGTATCAAATGCCACAGGTGCATAAATAAAGTATTATCAGAAATATGTTGAGGGCTGGCCGTGGGAGCCGAGGGGGGTGTGTGTGTGTGTGTGTGTGTGTGTGTGTGTGTGCGTGCGCTCGCGCGTGTGCGTATAGTTAAAAGAGATTTGCTCTCAGAATTGTTCACTAAATACTTGCTGAAAACTGTCCTGATTTGAATCCTGCCTGTACTCATATAGTCACTGCACTGTAGCGTGTTTGGGGAACTCGTAAACAATTGATAACCTAACAGTCCATAGAGTTACATCGGTGTAATAGTAGGTGCTAAGTGAGATGAGAATCTGGCCCAACTTGCTGAATTTCTTGCTGTCATGCAGCACACATGGTAGTCTTATTTGACCTTATAAAAGTCTATTTGAGGGAATTTCTCTGTAAATATTTAATCTAGAATCCCATGTTGATTCAACACTCTACCCATTTTTGAGCATAAGCCAATCAGTTTTCTTCCTTCTGTTTTCAGAGTCCAGATACTCTAACTTGGCGGATTTTTGAGAGGGTTCCCAAGTAGTCATTTGGTCTCTGTTCAAAATACTTGTCTACTGTGCTATGTAACAGAGCAGCTTCCAGACATATAGTCTAGTCCAGCGGCTTCCTTGGCCCATCAGAAGTCCCTCATTTTTTTTTCTTTCCATTTTCATTGTTATTTCTGCGTTTTATTATTATTACAACATTGCTAGGGTGAGAAACCTGGAGAAGACACAGGAAATCGTGAATGATTGCTTATGTCGTAATATGGAATAGTGGAGAACTGCAACAATCATGGAGTGAATAAAGAACGTGCTGATTGGAACAGGATGAAAATTCTCCGCTGGATTCAAGGTTAGTTCTTTTCAACAACTATCTATAAGCACGGTCTACTTCCTAGACATGGACACCCCTGCATAATTGTCTCTGCGTGCAGTACTGCATGGAGATGGAGGATGGCAAAGATCCTGATACAAACCTGGACTTCACAACAGTGTCAGAAGAAAGCTCAGTCAAATAGTGATTGACAGAGAAATAAGAACAGGAGGTTTTAAAGAACAAAATTCTGGGCTCTCTACAGCAGTGTGAGATGACGATTCCCGACTTTGGGAATCCAGCATGCTAACTCCTGAAGGGGATTGAACATCTGTCGAGCATTTGTGACCTCCCACCAGCTTCAGCAGCCCAGTGTCTGAACAGGAAAGTGGAACGCACAACCGTCGGAAAATGAGACAGATCAGATTAATTTCATTGCTTGTGATGAGTAAAAAGTTGAAAGAAAAAACCCCCAAAGACTCCCAAACCCCCAAACCAGTCAACAGATAATTTTACCTGGTAGTATGCTTATTTTTTTCATTAGGTTTTTAGATGGCCTGCAAAATTTCAGGCTGATTGATTTCCTGAGGCAAAAACAGACAAACAAACCAAAAAAATAATCACACAAATCAGGTAATTGGCTAATCTGCTATTTGTTTGAATGCTGAATTGCTCAACTGAGCTTTAAAATTTGCTCGTTAGTGCATGTAAATGGATGTACTCCCAATATCTGCAGATGTTCGTATGAATTTAAATGTTGCCTTTTTTGTTGGTTATCAGCGTGTTATTAATAGCACTGGTAAGTAATTAAATATTGATATATATCATTTTTATTTTGACACTGCCCTTTGAAATGCTAAGTGATTGTTGAGGTTAAACAACTGTATGGCAGAAACTGTATCTATTATGCACTTGTCAGATCTCAACAGAAGTGCTTTTAATAACAGTTTGTTATTTGATTCACAAAGAATTGCAAATAGATGCAGTTTCTAGAAACGAGCCCTTATTTTTATGGTTCCTGATCATTTTAAGATATCTGACAGTGCTGCAAAAAAGATGTCCGTTAGCTACGTTCAGAAGAGCTCAAGCACCTGTAAACAAAGCAAGACTCTTCATCTTAGATTTAAAAAGGAAGCATCAGGAAGATCCCTGGACATCAGTGAATGGGAAGTTATTTGTATTTAAAGGACAGGACCGTACATTACTAGAGCTTTTTTAGATCTCTACACTCTTTACAAACCTTTACGACCGGAATGACCTCTAACATCTTGTAATCAGGTTTATTCAGGGGTGGAACACAGCAGCTGTTTAGCGATACACGCTTCTATTACAGGTTAGGAAAGGATGGGAAGAAGACTTCTGTACCCACCTGAAATTGCAGGGGAATGTCATTGTGACAGATGGAGTGTAATTACCTTGCTTGGAGCTAGGCCAGGACAAATTGCAAGGAAGGTGAAGTTTGCTGCATGTGCTCCTTCTGGATGTTGGAGAGACCAGCATGACAGTTGTGAAACACCTGGCAGTGCTTTAGAAGTGCAAAAAATTATCGAATGTTAAATAAAACATCAGGCGATTGTTGGGAAACATGCCTTTATTAAGATATAACAGTCAATTGCATAGTTGTTAAAGAGCTATAACTATGCATTAAATAATCAGTTCAGCTGGTATTTATTTAATATAATCGCAGCCTATTAAACTGAATTAAGTACAGCGTTAAGCATTGCTGGGACAGACAGTTAAAAATGTTGCCAGGAATGTCTTACGTTGCCTCAAACCTTTTGTCAAAAACTTCCACAGAAAATCTCTGAAAAATTGTCCCTCATTTAATGAGGGAAGCACCATCTGGTTCAGGTCAAGTAAAAAAAAAAAAAAAAGCAGCTTCACCCTAATCCAAAGCCCAACCCAAAGTACACCATTTTTTTTTTAATCCAAAAATGTGTCTCACTATTTGAAAACATTCCCTTTTAAGAATTTTGTGTAATATTTTTTAACCCTTTATACTTCCCCAGATCTCTGTTGCCTTGCAATCTGTGCAGTCATTTTTACCACTGCAAAATGTATATAAAATGTTACTAGCTCAGAGTTGCCATGATTGGGCTGGTGTCCAAAATGGAAGGACCAAATCCAAGGCGCGGGTTGAGTCTTGGCAATGCTGTATCCAAAGGCCCAAGTTTGAGGAAGATTCAGATAAACATGCAAACAACAATCTGTCCCTCCTGTTACTTCCCTTCCCCACTCTACAAGTACTTCTGCTTTGTCTGTTTCAGAAAAAAAATGACCTTTTGGTGACAATAGACACTAGGGCTATGCAAAATGGCACTGTTACATTTCGCCTTGAGTTTCGACAGTTCCACAGAACAGCGTTCCGATCCAAATTTAATTTCGAGTTGAAACAGCTGCTTCATTCCATTTTGTTGAAACAGAAAGGCTGTTTCGATGGTGTTTCAGCCTTTTGCTGGGGATGGGAAGTCAGCCCAGCTGTACTGACTTCCCATCCCCAGCATTAGATTGCGCCAGGGGCAGGAGGCAGCCCAGCTAGGCTGCTTCCCCATCCCTGGAACTAGATCAAGCGGGGGGTGGGCTGGGCTGGGCTGCCTCACTGCCCCCGGTGTGATCTAGCGCTGGGGATGGGGATCTAGCGTGGGAGATGGGGAGTCAACCCAGCTGGGCTGACTTCCCATCCCCAGCCTATGGTTGAAATGTTTTGACTTTTGAAACATTTTGACTAGCCTTGCTTTGTTTTGAGACTGTTTCAACTGCCTTTGTTTCATTCCGATTTTGCTGTTTCGACCTTGAAATTGGTCAAAATAGTGTCGAAATGAAATGGCCAGCAAAATTTCGCACAGCCCTACTAAACAGCACCAATAGGTGTGGTAGAATTGGCACTGAATCTGGTTTAACTATAGATGTGGGCAAATGTTGCCCTGAACAATACTGTAGTCAAATACAAGACAGTTGGTGTATACACAAAGTGGCAGTGAAGTACCTACTGGTAACTGTTTTTACATACCTTCTCCTGTTTATTTCTGTATATGGACATGGTTGTTTTGGCTTAACCTTATTTTATTCCAGTTTAGTGTGAGCCCCCCCCCCGCGCGGTTGATTTAAGTCAAATCAAAATCAGATTTTTTTTTCCCAAAATAAGTCCGTCCATGCTCAGACTTGCACTGAAATAACATGAAGTGTGAATTTCAACTGTGCAGATCTGCCCTAGCGTATGTTGTGCCTGAATGCCAAGGCTTTGTGTAGCATTTTATATTTTAGGTATTTTATGCATCTCATGTCTGCTTATCCTTTGGCTTCAGGATGGTAATACCTAATCTCCATTCCTAGCTGTTGAGAGGAGAGGAGACTGGATCACATTTTATTTCAATCCCAGGACAGTCTCCCCCCAGGCAAAAGTGTCCATGAGGTGCACATGCATGTAGCGAGGGTGCCTCTTTTGCTCAACTCAGGCTTGAGCTTGCACCATTCAATTAATGGAAGCTTTTTCCATTGTCTTGAATGGGAGCTGAACCAAGCCTGTACTGAGCTAATCAGGCTGATTCAGGTTCCTGCCGAACCTCAGTGCACGTCCCTATTGAATGCTGCAGCCGCAGCCCCCCCTCCCATTCCCCTCCCTCTGGCTAATTAGCGTGCACATAACCCCCAGACAAAACCCCTGTGCACCTGCACTGCCATGGGAGCACAATGTAGGGCCAGCCAACAAAGCAGCATGGCAGGGACCCCAGCTCAGTGAATGCCTTGCTATCCCTCGCAAACACAATGTTCAAAAAGGAGGAGGAGATTCACTTGCCTGGACTTTTCAGTGCTGGAGAGAATGGGCAGAGTCCACAAAAGGGACTTAAAAAGGAGAGAGACAGAAGGAACAAGGCAAGTGCAGGGAGGGAAGAGGAGGAGGAGGGAGGGCCTTCCAGGTTGTTTAATGCGTTTTGCCCTCCAGAGCTCCTTAGTCTACATCTCAAAAGCCGTCAGTGACATCAAGTTGATTGTTTTTGCTGCAGCTATTAAAACTAGCGGCTAAAGAATCAAACGCTACCGTCTTCAGCACAGAACCTTCTTGTTAGCAGGACAAAATGAGCCTGAATCATGCAGGCCATAAAAGGGCCCTTTTTGGCTTTGAGGTGATGATGAATGATTCCTTAGTGGTGACAGGTTGTTTTTTCTTTCCTTGGGAGGACTTTGGCGATGCGCTCGCTCAGCTTCGCTTTTGAGTTTATACCTCTGGGCACGTTTCACCCAGCAGTGACTGCATTTGACAGGACTTGAAATGATTCATTTGATAAATACCATTGCTATTCTATTAAGGGCAGAATTAAATAATATACATTACGGAAGGAAAAACGGTGCAGGAGTTGTCATTGTTTTGGGCCAGGGCTAGCTGAAATTCTCTGTAGCTTCTATTGCACAGATGTTTGTGCAGAAAAGCATGCATCTGCCTTTGCTATAAGAAGTCACATTTCAAAGCGTTTCTCATGCTAGGCCACTAGATGCAGGCTATGACATTAGCCTATTCAATTCTAGTCAGCCCAGCAGCCCCGTGCCAAAGGCAAATGGCTGCTGATCATCATTCAAAATCCCCTCCATCCCTTCATAAGGCCCATGGTTTGATAATCTGGATTGCCATTGCTCCCCCCCCTTCTCCCCCATGATGATCTCTATTTTATAGATGAGAAAATGGAGGCAGTAAGGTCAAATGACTTGCATAGTTATAGAGAGGTTAAGTGTTCATGGTAGTAGCAGAATTCTGGAGATCCTGATTTCCAGGCCCAGTATTCAGGATACTAGATCACGCAATGATTTATTATTGTTATCGGGATTTCTACTAGAGCTCATAGGGCCCAGGGCTCTTAAAATCAGGGCTTCGTTGTGCAGGGTGCTGCAGGAAAGAAACCACTATCAATGCAAAGGAAAATACTATCCCTTTTCCAGATAAAGTTCTCAGGGCTCAATACATTTTTGGCACTTAGATACGCGGGTAACGAAGGCCCTATCGGAAAGAGAGAGGTCAGAACACCAGAGCAACTTCTGGGGGTTGGTGGAAAGAGCTACCTTTTCCATGTTTCTCTTAAACAGTTCAGGACTCAATCTCTAAATGGAAAACATGACTTTCTGGGGAAGAACCATATTGGCACTTACCACCAGCCAGAAACAAAACAGTCAAGGAGGCAACTGGAAGCCTGAGAAGCCACAGGCTGGAGCGAGTCCTTTCATCTTAAAGCAAAACCCACATTGTTGCATCCCAGATCTCATCCCTTATGACACTTAGATTCGCTCTGCAATCTTTTCCTAGCAACCGTTGCTGAAAAGAGACAGCCTCCTTTTTTCAATGTACTGGGGCTTAAGATCACAGGCAGCAGTAGTTGGGCTGCTGATGGACAGATTTTGTTCATTGGGAAGAAGAATAGGAGGCCAATCCCAGTGGATGTTTTTTCATTTGCAATTTTATGAAGCCATAAACCACCCCCCCCAGGAATAGGGACAGCCAGAAAATAAGAATTCTGCTTAACAAAAAGTCCAGATTTCAATCTGCTTTTTACTTCAGGACCAGAACAATAATTAAACCTTTCAAAATGCATGAGTGTTGTTGTCTTCAAGAATATGGAGGGTCCCAATAGCTAGGGTGTTCCCCTTGGATGCAGCGTATCTGAACTATCCAGACCTTCTAGGTCAACAAATTGGGTGAAAATGCCCTTGGAAATGTGGCAGTTCCTGGTAGTTTTGATTTTGGTTGGGATGCAACACAGCCTAGGGTTAGAAAGTTAGAATACCAACCCTGACTGCCACTGCATGTCCCTACAGTGATGCAAATGTGTTGCCATGCCGGCTGAAAAATCCCCTGCTGTTTATGATTCTGAAGGCTAAGGAAAGCTTGCCAGCCATTTTCAAGAGTATAGACTTTCTGCCAGGCCTTGAGTAGCTAGATCAGCTCTCAGATTTCCACTCACTTCCTCTGGTTTCATAGATATAGGCACATATATATATTTTTTTTTTCCCCACAGAGACAGCTAAAACTAAATCAAAGGTTCTGGTGACGTTTGAAGACATCTCCAACATGTTCAACAAAGAAATTGATCTCCAGGAAGGAGATCTGGAATAGAAATAGCCATTTTTTCTTATTTGAAAACTGGTTTTCGGACCTCCTTGCTCCTGAAGGGTGCATAGCTCCAGACTCTGCCAGTGCCTCTTCCACGCGGACCATGGGACTGCGATTTTTGCTGAAATGTGATCATCACCACCAGACTTGGGAATGTTTTTTCTTCTGTTTCCCTATGTTGTCAAAGCATTTTAATGCTGATTGAATCAATCATCCTCAAGGGTACTGGAGTTGTCCTTCTCACTAATAGGGTAACTAGGGCAGGACAACTGGAGCAGCAGCCCTGGGTGAATATTGGGGGGAGACGGTGGAAAAACGACAGCCACCCAGAAGGCACTTCTGCCCCAGTGTATTGCCACTGCTCCAAATGCCCAGCTGCCCTATTATGCTCTGCCACCCAGTCTTTGGCCCCTTTGCTGAGATGGTGAGGATGGCATGAACACATTACTGATTGTGAGGGTGTCTCTTTGTGAAACAGATGTCTGTTCCAGGGGAAAGGGACTGAAATTCATTCAGCAAACCACCATTACCAGTTGGTTCATGGCCAGGTTTATTAAGTACACTGGGGGTTATAACTGTAATAGGTTATCTTACACCCAAATCCCAGGGAAATCAGTGAAAATCCCTGTTTTTATCAGTGTGTGGAACCCAAGTCTGAAATGGACAGTTGGAACAGGCCCATCTCTTCTTTTCCTTTTATTAATAAGTTTGTGGCCAGTAAGATAATTGCCTGTTAATCCCCAAGCAGTGGCGGACCACGTTAATCAGAGTTAGCGAAGGGAGAGGAAAGCGTTTCTTGCATGGTAGATAGAACGTTATCTCCTTGCTAACCTGCTTCATGATTTTAATGACTTTTTTTCTTCCCATCAGCAGATTGCCATCTGCTGTTGAGCACGAGATCACAGCTCTGTTTGTCTAAATCACCTGGGTGCTGCAGTTGATAAAATGTCAGTGGGAAAAGAAATGCAATAAGGTTTTTAAGCATGAGCATCCCTTGTGAGTCACGGGAATCATAAAGCCCCAAACCTTGCAGTTTTCCAGCTGTGGCATATTGGCAGCTCCTCGGTTTGTAAACTGAACGGCATTGCAAATAGAGATAAGGGCAGAGGAATTGCCACAGGGAGACAAATCTCTGGTCCATTCAGTCAGATGATCAGTCTCTGGATGTAGTGGGTTTGCAACTATTTTGACTTGCAAATAGAGCATTTTGGTCAAGTGTACCTTTGAAATTCAAGGTGAGCTTGAAATCTGCTTCCCCAGGAAAGCAAAACTTGCCAGCTGGAGTTGATGTGGCCTGACCATACACCTAGGGGGCTGGGATTCCCTGGCTTCTAAATTTGGATTCAGTGTCGTTCTTGTAGAGAATTAGCCCCAGTTCAGTCTTGGGTAGCTGGTACACTGCATTCAAACCAGCTTAGATAGGCCTATTTGTTACACGGGGGTAACTGTGGGGCTGGGCCCACAAAGAAACTGTTAGACTCCTCTGTTATTAGAAGGGGCTATTAAGTGTTAACTACTTGGGGCAATTAGGGTGAAAACAGGGACAGGAGTACAGGTCAAAGATCAATAATGAGTCGGGGGGGGGGGGGGGTAGGAACAAGAGGGCC